AATGCCTATATCTTTCATCATATCCTTGTAATCTTTTCTCACTTTGTACAGTAAAGAGAGGTGAGCTCATGAGATTCAGAGCAATACCCTCACACTTTAAAGTGAAGTTTCCCCTGTGTGCAGCACTTTAGCAGCCTGCCCAACAGGCGTCTCTCCTCCCTGTCAGACTCCACTTTCCCATATTGTAAGCTGACACTGCCTGGACTATAACCCAATCAAGGCCAGTGACATCGGAAGAGAAAAAAAAAAATAAAAATAAATAAAAAAATAAAAATCTAGCTGGCATACTGTTGATAGCCACTTATCACAGAACAGGTGAGCACATTTGAAATGCATGATTATTGGCCGGGTGCGGTGGCTCACTCTTGTAATCCCAGGACTTTGGGAGGCCAAGGCAGGTGGATCACAAGGTCAAGAGATTGAGACCATCCTGGCCAATGTGATGAAACTCCATCTCTAATAAAAACACAAAAATTAGCCGGGCATGGTAGTGTGCGCCTGAAGTCCCAACTACTGTGGAGGTTGAGGCAGGAAACTCACTTGAAGCTGGGAGGCACGGGTTGTGATGAGCTGAGACCACACCACTGCACTCCAGCAAGGGAAAGAGTGAGGCTCTGTCTCAAAAAAAGGGGGGAAATATAAAAGCTGTGTGTGTGAATGTGTGTGTGTGGTTTTGACTCATTACTAACAGAAATTGAAGCAGTTCAAAATCAAATTCCTTAGTTTCAAAACTTCTCATTGGCGCTGGCCTGGGGCCATCCAGCCACCCCTTCCTTTCTTTCTCCCATCCCTTTCTCCCTCATAAGAGCCACACAGATGAGGCTGTATGCGTTTAAGTGATTGAGGAGCAGGCAAGAAGAGAGATCTTTATTCTCCATGAACAGTGGCCATTTCTCCAAAAAAACAGTTGTCTGGCATCTCAGTAATATCCTTGTAGTCAATATCATGTGGGAACCTCCCAGGCTGAGCACGTTTGTTCTGTTTCTCCAATGCTGCCAGAAACATTGGGGTAATTACCTTTCCCAACATCCACCTAAATTATAGCAAGGCAACACTGTTAACATTTCCTTCTAGCCAAAGCCAGTGCAGGGGGGCAGATAAACATGTGAGGTAACCAGCTTCTTCCAGTCTCCTTCTGAGCTAATCTCAGCGCCGAAGGTCCAAATGCTGTAACCGCAGCCCAGAAAGGAGGGAGGCAGGAGGTACGTGCAGACAGCACAACTGTCAGAAAATGCCGGAATCTGAGGGCGTGTGAGGCTGGACTGGCATCCCCTCATCTCCTGATCTGAGCTACCACTCCTAGAATAAGGTAATCGGGACCTGACAGATTTCACCATGAGACTAGACCAGAAGCAGCCTTTCGGGGCTGTAGACTGAGCTCACAAGGCTCCGCAAACAGCCGATGATTTTCTGCTCACTTATCACGATTCCCGTTTACTGTTTAATAATATTTATGAGCAGCCTGACTCAAGACCACATACAAGAACCCCAGTCGTAGACAAAGCAGAAACTGCCCTGCTGTATAAACAAGCGCAGAATGACTCACTCCTCAACTTGTGTTGTGTTCTGCATTGAATCATATTAGCTTAGCTCACAGGTGTGTGCAGGGCAACTGTGCAGAAAATGGCTCAAAAACTGCCACTCCGCTTCTGCCTACTAATGGGGAATAGTGGACTGGGTCTCCGGAATGCCCCCTTCCTTAGGTGCATGGTAGAGGCATGAAGAGGGTTTTGGCGGTGTCTGTGCCTTGACTCAACGGAGATGCATAAACCTTTGCTGTCTTCTCTTTCTCTGTCTTCGTTTGCCTTCTGTGTATTCTCTGCCCTTTGATCCTAAAAGCAAATCACGGGTGGAGAGGTCGGCCGAAGGACCTGGCTTGCCCACCAGTGTGGAACGGGAGAGAGGGTCCCGGAAACCAAGACGCTATTTTTCTCCTGGTGAAAGTAGAAAAACTTCCGAGAGATTTAGAACCCAACCTATAACTTCAGCAGAACGAAAGGAATCGGATAGGTAGGCATGCGTGTGTGCCGTTTCCTAGTCCAGGAACGTGACGCGACACAGGAGTGTCACACACTGACGGCCTTCGTGCTATTTATATAGGATGCTGGCCATTCCATGATTCTTCCATCTAATCTGTAAGCGTTAGGTATTTGGCTTATTTTAAAGCCTTTTTAAAGAATGTTGTCCTTTACAGTGGTATTGTGATACATACACAATTTTACATTGCACATCTTCAGATGATAAGAAGAAATATTGTTTCTCTTCATTTAATGTTTTTAATGTTTTTTACCCCCTTGTTAAATTAGACTCCAGATTGCACATTCACCCGATTTTACAGTGAAAGTCACTGCGGAAGTTTCTATTCATTTTATAAATGTCCGTCTACTTGTTGTATTTGCTTTACACTGAAGTGTCATACTCTGTTGTGTAGAACTGAGAAGGTTTGTGCAAATGTTGTCCTCGGTGATGTATAGTAAGTTGCACGTGTGCCTGGTCTCCCCACAAGGCGTGTCCTTGGCTGGGATTGTGTGCACACACGCTCCACAGTGTCACTTCACAACTGTGTGTGTGTTTTCACAACTAGAATTGCTACCAGGAGGTTATCTCTTCAAAGAATTTAATTGCATTTTCAGTTTGACTTTTAATATAATGTTTTATTTCGATCTTCTGCTCCCACCTGCTAATTTATGATAATTATTTGCTACTGTCTTTCCCAGGTGCACGTCACAGTCAGAAACGCCAACTACTGACGGCAAGTACCTTTTCCCCGTTTCTTCCCCTTCTTCGTTACCTCATCTAGACGGGATTTAGTAATACAATTTATGGCTTTTTGAGAGAATCAGATGATAGAGCATATCAATGTCTCCCTTTGCTGCAGGTTTTCTTTCTGTGAATAAAACAAAACCTAGTTGAAATTTGCAAATAAGCTTTCCCTTCGTATTAAGAACAGTTTCTCAGAAAGAAAGGAAACAGTTTTGAGAACAAGAAGAACTTGTTTCTTTGGTTTGCATTAGTTGTTTTTCTATTGGTCACTGCAGTGTTGCTGCTGCTGCTACTATTTAAAAATAAAAGAAATCTCCTCCATAAATATATTCATGAAATCTCGATCGGACAAACGTTAGAGTAGCAATCCCTGGCCAGCGTTTGCTTTGGTTTGGCTTGGTTTGAATGCCAAGGGAAATTAGCACCTTTCCACTGAGCAGAAAGAATTTTAGTGCACCCATTCTTGTATTCAGAGATTTCCAAGTCAGCCCTGGAAGGCTTTTTGGAGACTGAACTTATACTTTCTAATGATATCCAGCTTTTAATTTGTGGCTTTTTACAGATGAAGAAAAAGTAGATGAATGAGACAAACTGAGCATCGCAACCAAGGGGCTGCTTTTCAGGGTTAGCCGAGCTGACGTGCTTGAATAGAGATCATGACCCCTGGGTGCAGTAATCCTAGCTACTTGGGATGCCAAGGCAGGAAGATTGCTTGAGGCCAGGAGTTCAAGACCAGCCTGGGCAACATAGTGAGACTGCATCTCAAAGAAAAAATTTGTAAGCCTTAGCGGGGGAGACTCTCATGGACCTAGCCTACTTCATGCACCTCTGGGTGTGCTGAGGCCTTCCTGGCTCTGGCCCACCTGTTTTTCTCTTCCTAGTCTTTAGGTGGTTGTGGCCACCTCATGGACACAGGATGAGTGTACATTTCTGACAATGATACAAGGCTCTTATTTCTGAGCCTCCTGTAGTTCCTGTAGAAGAACAGAGTAAATACTTTTTACAGCCCCCATTTCCTTTCCTTGAATTTATTTCCTGTATTTTTTTAGAGACAGGGTCTTGCTCTGATGCCCAGGCTGGAGTACAATTGGCGTGATCATGGCTCACTGCAGCCTCAACCTTCTCTGCTTAAGTGATCCTCCCGTCTCAGCCTCCTGAGTAGCTGGGACTGCAGGCCACAGCACTATGCCCAGCTAATTTATGCACATTTTGTAGAGATGGGCTTTTACCATGGTGTCCAGGCTGGTCTCAAACTCCTGGGCTCAAGTGATACTCCTGCCTCAGCCTCCCAAAGTGCTGGGACTACAGGTGTGAGCCATTGTGCCTGGGCTAGTTTTTATTTTATTTTATTTTTTTAAACTGTTTTTGTGCTTGTATTGGACACACAGACACCCTTCCTGAAAATAAAAATGAAGTTCATCCCGTTACGTTATTGACATTCCAAAAGGCTTCTACGCCAGTGACCCGTTCTGTGGACCTGCTGTTAGATCAGCTGCCTGCAGTTCCTCCCCAAGGTGTTCCTCAGTTTCTTGGTGCATTTGTAGCTAAGTATATACTTGCACTCGTTAGAACTCTTTGCAAATCAGTTTTTTTAAAGTAAATATTTGAATGGCTGGTGTAAAATAAGAAGCAGCTACCCATGGGAGCAAAACTGTAAAGATAAGAAAAATTGTCTCCTTTTAAGGCTCAATAAACCTACTTTGATGTGCCTATAGATTGTATAAGGACACTGATGCTTTAAAAATTAGATTGAAGGCCGGGCACAGTGGCTCACATCTATAATCCCAGGACTTTGGGAGGCTGAGGCAGATAGATCACTTGAGGTCAGGAGTTTGAGACCAGCCTGGCAAACATGGTGAAGCCCCGTCTCTACTAAAAATACAAAAATTAGCTTGGTGTGGTGGCACATGCTTGTAATCCCAGCTACTGGGGAGGCTGAGGCAGGAGAATCCTTCAACCGAGGAGGCAGAGGTTGCAGTGAGCTGAGATTGCACCACTGCACTCCAGCCTGGTTGAAGAAGTGAGACTCCGTCTCAAAAAAAAAAAAAAAAAAAAAAAAAAGCTTGAAAACCCTATTCTAAAACACAGGCATAATCTACTGATTCGCATAAAACAAGACAGTGTCAGTTATAATAAAGGGTTTGGTTTGGGAGCACAGCACATTTGAATGCTGAAGGGTTGTTTTGGAGACTGGAACCGTTCTGGAGTGAATAGTTAAAGCTGACTTCCTGTGTCTCACACCAATTGCCACGAAGCATTTTGCTGTGTGGGGACCCTCTGGGAAGCGTGGTTTTCCCACGGAGTGGAGCGCGCTGCAGATTTGCATAAATCCCAGCGGATGGGGTCACCCGCCGCGCGCCCACGGACTGAACTCCGAGAGCTGCGCTGCTGGGGGCGAATCGCTGGAAGGACGTTCCCGGAGCAGTTCCGTGCTGATGTCGCTCTTTTCCTTCCCAGCGGCGGAGTTCGGGGAGCCGGCTTCCGAGCAGACGGGGGCAGCTGCTGGGAAAACGGTGGCCCAGCCCGCAGCCCCCGCGTCCTGGAAGCCCCAGGATTCTCCGGAACAGCCACAGGAGAGGCTCTGCAGGAATCCCTGTGCGATGTTTGCTGCTGGAGAGATCAAGACGCCGACGGGGGAGGGCCTCTCCGACTCACCCAGCAAAACCATGTCTATTAAAGAAAGGTAATGAGACTCAGGGAGCGAGAAGTGAATCCCTCGGGGAGGAGCTCACAGCTGGCTTTTAGAAGGCGATCCGGGTGGGGGGCAGAGATGAAATCACACACTCAGCTTCTGACGGGCTGGGCTGTTACCCTGGAGGAATTCCGAGAAGCCGAGGTGTTTGCAAGTGAACTGCCTTTGCTCCTGAGCCTGGTTTGGTAATGAAGGCAGGGCGGGTTCCAGACTCAGATGAGAAGACAAACAGAAACAGATTTCTGCTTTATTTGTATGTTTCCATTGTCCCAATGTCTTTTATAATATTAAAGTATTGGCTTATCTAGTGACAGAAGCTGAGATCTTGGCTCTTTCCCTTTTAGATAGGCAGGGTTCATACTGAATGCACAAACCGCTTGTGACGTTGTGTGAAATGTGTGTAGAGGGAATGAAGATAAATTGACATACAGGGCATGCATCTTTGGGCTAGAATCCAACTTTTGTTTCCTTTGCAGAAAGTAAAATGGATGACTTTTCTGAACTGCATTTAGAGATTTTATGTCAGGTAATAGCTTGAAAGATTCCGTTTGAGCATCAAATAACACAGTAGCCTCATTTCTTTCAAAGAATGATGTAGGGTGCAGAGGAATATATTTAAATGAGACAGATACAGAGAACTAGAAGTTAATTACCTTTGGGATATGTTTTCTTGTTAACCTCTAACCACAGTTGAATTAAGCAGCAAAAGATACAACAGTGGGAATAAATGCAGGGTTTGGTAGTGGAGTGGGGGGGCTAAATGGAAATGTACTGTTCTCAGGTGATGGGCAGCCTGCTACCCTGACTGGCTCTCTATGCATTACACATGTGTAACAGAATTTCTTATGCACCATATAAATTTGTACAAAAAAGAGAAAGTCTTCAATAGGAAAAAAACACACACACACACACATGATGGAATAGTGATAGGAAAACTGGGTGAAAAAAATTCATGTCAACTCCAGAGAATAATTAGGAGAACCATTTCCTCATCACCTGTCCCCACAGTTCTGACAGCTTCCGCCCTTCCTCAGCAGCTCCATCACCTGTCCCCACAGTTCTGACAGCTTCCGCCCTTCCTCAGCAGCTCCATCGCCTGTCCCCGCAGTTCTGACAGCTTCCGCCCTTCCTCAGCAGCTCCATCGCCTGTCCCCGCAGTTCTGACAGCTTCCACCCTTCCTCAGCAGCTGCCACCACACAGAAGCCTGCATGCCTTGTTAGGCACTGACCATGCTTATTTTTCTAGATACATTTCAAACTGCCTAAGACTATACCAAACCACAATGAAAAGTCTTCTGTTTTTTTCCTTCCTTTCTTTCTTTCTTCCTTCCTTCTTTCTTTCTTTGTTCTTTCTTCTCTCTCTTCTTCTCCTTCTCCCTCTTCTTCTGTTTTGTTTCATTTTGTTTTAGACAGGGCCCCTGTCCCTCTGTTGCCCAGACTGGAGTGTAGTGTAATCACAGCTCACTGCAGCCTGGAACGCCTGGGCTCAAGTGATGCTCCTGCCTCAGCTTCCACAGTAGCTGGGACAATAGGTGTGCGTACCATGCCTGGCTAATTAAAAACAACAACACTTTTTCTAGAGATGAGGGTCTCACTATGTTGCACCACCATGCCTGGCTAATTAAAAAAAAAAAACCAGAAAACTTTTTCTAGAGATGGAGTTCTCACTACGCTACCAAGGCTGGCCTTGAATTTCTGACCTCAAGCAATCCTCCCACCTCCATCTTCCGAAGTCTAGAGATTACAGGTGTGCACCTGGGATTACAGGTGTGCGCCACCATGCCTGGCCATTCTTTGTAGTCAAGCCCAGCTGCTTGAACATGATTTATAAAATAATAGATGGCATCTTTCTAAATTGAAAAATTAATAAGATTATTAAATCTGATTTACCTTCTTCTTTACTTACTTAAAGTTCATGGTAAGTTAGACCTGGTAGGCTGAGGGGCAGAGGGAGGGACAGAGGGGTCAGTGCAGTGAGGAGAGGGATGTCTTCAACCAGGGAAGCAGTTGGGCCTATTGAGGTTTGAAGTTCTCTTCCATGAAAACAGGGCTCAAAGAGAGTTGCATCCTAGAAATCCAAGTATTCATTACTGGTTAGGTGAGGAGGAAGAGAAATCATTTAAGGAAATTAACGATAAATATCAGTTAAGCACAAGTTCTGATGTTTTACACATGAGCAAATATCCCTGGGGTATTCCCCAGTGGGAAATACTCATGCCCCCTTCCTTCAAAGGCTTTTAAAGGATCCTCCCCATGTTTGGGTATTTTCTGTCAGTGGGGACTTAGGACTTCTGACAGAGGAGCCCTGTGTCTGTCCACTAAGCCATAATTCCTGATGTACTTGCCTGCTTATTGGTAAATTTTAGTTGATCTGTATCTTTCTGAAAGTTTTAATTCTACTGTAAAATTCTCATTTTTAAACTGAGACATGGGAAGCTGCAGCTTCTTAGCTTGGGCTTTGTGGACATCTAAGGCCTTCAAGGATGGCTGGAAAGCGTCTGTGACCAGCGTGGAAGCGTGTTGAGAATTGGATGTGTGAGCACGCACCTGCTGGCGGGCAGAGGCCACAACTTACCATGGTCTCCAGGAGAGCCCGGTCTGTTCAGAATCATGGTAGAAAGGAATGCTTGATGGATATTCAGCTATTCAATTTGTTAAAATACGTTTAAGAAAGGACGAGGGGGCCAGGCGCAGTGGCTCACGCCTATAATCTCAGCATTTTGGGAGGCCAAGGTGGACGGATCATGAGGTCAGGAGTTCAAGACCAACCTGACCAACATGGTAAAACCCTGTCTCTACTTAAAAATACAAAAATTAGCTGGGTGTCGTGGCAGGTGTCTGTAGTCCCAGCTACTTGAGAGGCTGAGGCAGGAGAATTGCTTGAAACCAGAAGGCAGAGGTTGTAGTGAGCTGAGATCGTGCCATTAAAAAAAAAAAGGACGAGGGACACTTTATTTAGCAGCTATGCCTGTAATAAATTACACTAACACAAAATATATTGCCAGTGATCTTTTCCCCTTACCTTGACAGCACTTTTATTTGTACTTTGCTGGAAATAACTAAACTACATATTTTATTTTTATTTATTTGTTTATTTTTTGAGATGGAGTTTCGCTCTTGTTGCCCAGGCTGGAGTGCAATGGCGCGATGTCGGCTCACCGCAATCTCCACCTCCCAGGTTCAAGCAGCTCTCCTGCCTCAGCCTCCCGAGTAGCTGGGATTACAGGCACATGCTGCCAGACCCAGCTAGTTTTTGTATTTTTGTTAGAGACAGGGTTTGGTCAATACAGTTAGCCAAAACAGCCCCGTGTTTGTGAAAAAGACCCTTTCAGGAACCCAGTGTTCCGGCAGCTTCCTATCAAGTCACATATCATTGAACTAAAGTAGGTTAGGTAACAGCCTCAGTTAATTAGATTCTTTTTTTGTATATGTCTTTCCCCTGAGGAAAGTTGAAATGATAATTTAAAAAAATGAGTTGGTAGAAAATAGTTTCTGTCTAAAGAAGATGGATAAGAAAGGTAATATTCATTTATAGGAAAACTGAACATCAAATTTTGATGTTCATCAAAACATTTTTTGAACATCAGAAAATGAACATCAAAATTTACCTCTAATTGAAAGGGATGATATTAAGAGATGGTGGGTGCTTCATGGTGTCTGTTTTAAGCCCACGTCTTCATTGTTCTCTGTAACACAGCTTTAGCCCTTTAATGTTATTTCACCGAGTGACCAGAAGGCGTCGCTAGAAGACATTTTTCTCTGGGGTCGGTTCTCTTGCTCTCGGCCCCAAAACAAGGGAAAAACAGACATTCCTTGGCTGGGATGATGGTGCATCTTTCATCTAGCAAGTCAGACTTCGGCTCTGTGTTTCAATCAGCTGTAAAATCTTCAGGGCCGTCTTACAGAAGGGACTTTATTATTTTTCCAGACCTGCTGTCTTCAGAATACATGAAATTCAAAATGTTAAAATGAGGTGGCTGTGGTCATGTCTTGGCCAAAGGCTTCTTGCTTGCTGAGATTATGGCTCTATCACAAGGAAGAGCTTGGTGCTGAAC